ATTGGAATACAAAATGAAGAGAAATCTAGTTAAATTTGACCTAACCCCTACTTTTACCTCCAACAATAAACTACAATGTCAGTTAGTTAACAACAAGAACAAAACAAGAGTTGAAGATAGAAGCGGCGTATACCAAATCAAATGCCGGAAATGCAATGAAATTTACATAGGACAGACAGGAAGAAATTTATACACACGATTCAAGGAACACACCACAAAAAGCAACTCATCTGTCTATAAGCATATTCAAACTTGCAAAAACGAAATCAAATTTGAGGACGTCAAAATTATCAAAAACCTAAAAAATCACGAGAAATGGCCCTATACGAGGAATTATTTATTAATATAAACAACAACAATCAAATCAAACTGATAAAGGACCTGAATGAACTTAATAATAGGAACAGATTTTTCATGACATTTTTGTAGACACTCGAATCTATCCTTTCCCCCCCATTACACAATCCCCTATTCATTGAGGTCTTACATATAATCTAGAGTGCGTATGGGGGTAATCAGAAAGTCGGACATGTTGGATGTACCGACCTGAACTTAGCTATAGTTTCAAATCTCTCTTGTCCCTAGAATTATAACCTCAAAATTCTCATAAACGTCACTTTCGTAGTTTCGTATTTGGATACGTCGTTATTTTCCAGTGTTGTGTTTGGTTTGTGTTATTGTGTTTTTTAGGACAAATTTTAGTAAACATGGGACGAACATGTAGTGTTATCACTTGTAAAAATTCGTATAAAAACAAAAATATTACGTTTCACCAGTAAGTTGCTACTTTCGGAATGTAAATAACCTTGTAAATAATTCTGTTTTTATTTATTTAGAATTCCAGACTATGCGATTTTGAAGAGAAAGTGGATAGAAGTTTTGGAAGGGAATGTAAAGCGCACTGTAAAGACTATTTTTATTTGTAGTGATCATTTTAATAATGAGAGTTTGGACAAATCGGGGCCTAATGTTCAAGTAAAATTAGGTTGTGTACCGACAAAAATACAGGTTAGTGAAGAATTGTTTGAATACACCTTGAAATCTAATCCAACAAGAATATATTTTATATTATTTATTTTAAGAATTTATTTTAGTTTACTTCAAAAAAGAATAAATTTTAATTTATAATCAACAACACTTGACAATAAAGTGTGTAGGTATTTGAATGTGACTAATATACATTAGGTAGGTAGTTAAATAAGTACTTAGCAATGCTTTAGCTTAAACGTAAGTAGATCAATTATTTTTAACCTGTATTTATGTGAATATGTGTACATTTGTGTAAGTATACTCTGCAGCATGTTGAGCATAATCTAATATGTTTCACACATCTTCAATAACTTGTTATTATATAGGGCAATTGGCATACACCTAAAAGTTCTAGGGTTAAAAGTAACAGATTCCGATTAAAGCNTATAAAATGCAGAATGGTCTACCAATGGGCTCCCCCATTTAGGGAATACTGTCAGATATATACGTAAATCACTTAGAAAGGGAATTATTCTCTGAAAAATACAGTTTATTCATCAAAGATATCGTATTTTACACACGTTATGTTGACGACATATTAATAGTATATAAAAGGAACCCAGCGAGACTCAAAGCCCTGCTCAACATCTTTAACAATCTAAGTCAGTTAGTATTTACTACTGAAATAGATACCGAAAATAGTATCAACTTTTTAGACTTAACACTAACCAGAAATCTTAATACAGAAAAAATAGACTTTAGTATATACAGAAAACCGACATACACAGACAACATCATACCAAAGAACTCTTATTGTTGCAGACAACACAAATATGCTAACTTCAGGTACCTATTCAATAGAATATATAATGTACCTCTTGACTCAGACAATTTATCTGTGGAAATTAGGAAAATCATTAAAATTGGTATTAACAACGAATACAGCATCGAAGAGTTACAAAAAATATACAATATAGTCATAAAGAATTAACAACCTAATTTTTCCACAGATCAAAACCAAGCTAAATTTTATCTCACTACCTTTCAACCCTATATTGGAATACAAAATGAAGAGAAATCTAGTTAAATTTGACCTAACCCCTACTTTTACCTCCAACAATAAACTACAATGTCAGTTAGTTAACAACAAGAACAAAACAAGAGTTGAAGATAGAAGCGGCGTATACCAAATCAAATGCCGGAAATGCAATGAAATTTACATAGGACAGACAGGAAGAAATTTATACACACGATTCAAGGAACACACCACAAAAAGCAACTCATCTGTCTATAAGCATATTCAAACTTGCAAAAACGAAATCAAATTTGAGGACGTCAAAATTATCAAAAACCTAAAAAAATCACGAGAAATGGCCCTATACGAGGAATAATTTATTAATATAAACAACAACAATCAAATCAAACTGATAAACGACCTGACTGAACTTAATAATAGGAACAGATTTTTCATGACATTTTTGTAGACACTCGAATCTATCCTTTCCCCCCCCAATACACAATCCCCCATTTTACTCACATACTCTATAGATAGCATTCACGCATGCGCTATATATTGTTTTAACGTTAGCACGCCATAGTTATAACCTTGTTTATAGATATACATAGTTATCCAAAGAATTTAGTTCGTGGTCGTGATGCCTAGATGGCAGGGTGACTTATGTGTCGCCATTCATAAAAATTTAAATTTTACTATTCGCGCCCAAATGTATTCGCATACATTTTAGAATTTTTTGCATAGAAAATAATCGATAATATGTCCTTCGAGAATAATACCGAATTGTTGGAGACTATTCGTCGGTAGGTACAGGTTTGTAGACGCCAAATTTTTTTGAATAGGTGGATGAACAGATTTTATGAGAGAAAACCAACTCCGTTGAATTTTTTTAAGAAGTTTGTTTAAAAGACTATATTTAATATACCGGGTAAGGCAGTGATTTTTACAAAGAATTTATGAAATAAATTAATTAGGTAAATATGATGTAATCAATTAGGAATAATTTCCTATACGAAGTTTCAAAACTCTGGATATTTTGTAGCCGGACTACGCTTTTATTTATGCGGTTGAAAACTCTTGAAATACTTGAGTTAATGTTAACGGGGTAGACTTTACACCTACAAAAGCTATTTTTAGTTTTATCTAATTATACTACGTGTTCTCAGCCGGAAAGGTTTTTTTTGTTTCTGTTTCTCTGTTGTGCGTTAGTCATTACTTGTTTAATCCCACCCTTTTCTTTAACACCACGTAAATCCCTTCAAGAGAGGCAAAAGTTAAAGATAATTTTAACATCTTAAGAATTCATTCGTCTTGCGATTGTTGTTGGTCTAACATTGCGTGTTTATCCTCTCTTACCAAACTTTTATTATTCCTATATTATATTCATATTATTAGTTTAAAAATTAGTATCTTATGTTATTTTTATTATCCATCATTTCCGTATTTTATTTTTTATCCAGGGCATTAATAGTTTATATGTACTTTTATATTTTGGTAGTGTTTATTAAGTATTAATTTAGATTCTATTTATTAAATAGTTTGTCGAAGTACTGTAGGAGTAAGAATGTTTGCTTTTCCAACTTCAGACAAAAGCAGGTGTCAAAATTGGATACTTAATTCAGGTAAACTTATCAACTTATAACATTTTCTTCATTTTCTTAAAAGATTCCTTCTGTACCACTTTTTAGGTCAAATCTTACACCCAGAAGTGGCAATTCCAGATGCTCAAAATAAATTAACTGAATGTAATAAAAAAAAACACTTATCTTAACAATTCTCCAAAATTCATTCAACAAATTCAAAAATCAAATTCAGTTCAGTCAAATTCCTCGAGTTCTTTCTTCTTTTCCACGTTCGTTTCCTCTCTCCACTTAACTAGCCATATTAAGATTTTCTTTCTTCTTTTTTTACTTCTTTTCTTTCCTCTCTCTTTTCAATTTATTATTTTACAGCTTATTTTATAACATTCTTATATAGTTTCCAGTTTCATTTTTAATTTTGTCGGATCCAAACCACGTCTATTATTCATCTTTTTTCTTCTATTTATTTATTTATTTTGTTTCTATGACTTGTTTTTAATAATCTATTTTCCCACCATCAACAAAAGATAGTGATTTTTATTATTTTATAATTTTTTCCGAATAATTAATTTAATGTTTCTTTATACAAATTTGATCTAAATCTATTTTATTTTAATTTTACTAAAATATAAATATAAACTAACGTACAATGTTATTTATATATTTTTTTTAACTATTAGAGTTAACTTAAATTTTTGAACAGGGTTTAACATAACATTACAATACCATTGGCTATTTTATTTTAAGATAAAATTATTAGTTGATTATTTTAACATAAAAAGTAAAAAAAAAGCTTTATTTATATTATACATATTTTCTGTTAAACAACAGGAAATTCAGAACTTGCTTCTTTGAGCCCAGATAAATTGAAGAAACGCTGCATTTGCGAGGATCATTTTCGAAGTGTCGATCTTTTAAAGAAAAAATTATCCTCATCTGCCGTACCAGTGTCATATAAACATCAAAAAACAAATGTACCTATACGAGTCTACCAAGTTGATACTCAGGGACCATCGACAAGTTCCGGAATTCAACATGGAAACATTGTTCGATTTTTAACACCCACGAAAGATTATTGTGATTCTGAAAGTGACAACGAAAACGATGAACACTAACTTGCCATCGCCTAGTCGAAAAAGGCCTGCCGTCGATGAAAATAATATGAAGCATCCAAAGAAAAAAATCAGGACACAATTCAATGTTGGTAGAAAGGTCGAGAATTTACCATTAGTTCCGAGAGCAATCACGAGAATGCAGTTATTTCATAAAAGGCGCGGATCGTGGCATTCAGATGAAAAAACAGCTGCTCTTGGATTGTATTACAAATCACCGTCTGCCTACAAATATTTAAGAAATAAGGGGTTTATATTACCATCACCGACAACAATTTCGTACTGGCTGTCCAAACAGAAATACCAACCAGGATTGAATAAGGCCCGTCTAAATGTATTAAAAATAAAAGTAGAAACAATGTCTAAGCAAGATAAAGAATGCGTGTGAGTTTTCGATGAAATGGCTATTAAACGACAACTTGAATACTCAAGAAATAAAGGATTCATAGAAGGATATGAAGATTTAGGGGAATACGGTCGAACCAGCAACCTGGCAAGCGAAGCTCTAGTTATTTTACTAAGAGGGTTATACTCGCAATGGATAATTCCTCTTTCTTTTTATTTATCATGCAACGGTGTAAAGGCCAATAATTTAGTAAAAATTATAAAATCGACTTTAGCATCGATAAGCGATATTGGACTGAATATTGTTACAATCGTTGATGATCAGTCCCCTACAAACCAAAAATTATTTAATTTATTAAACGTAGCACCAAATAAACCTTCTTTCAAAGTAGGCAATAGGAGTTATTTTGCACTATACGATGCACCACATCTCGTAAAAAGTGTACGAAATAATTTGCTTGATGCAAATTTTATTTTGAATAAGAGCTGTATTTCCTTTTCGGATATTCTGGGAGTATACGAATTGGATAAAAATAGTACCACGGGTAGGGTATTGCCAAAACTCACGGAGACGCATATAATGCCCAACACATTTCAGAAAATGAATGTCAAACTGGCTGTCCAAGTTTTAAGCCATAGCGTGAGTGCGGCAATACTTACTGCCGCTGAAACAGGCGAATTAATGACTGAAAGTGCAAGATGCACCGCGGACTTTTTAAACATCATGAATAATATGTTTGATGCTTTAAATAGCAAACAAATTAGAACTAAAAAGAAAAGTTGTGCTGCTCTATCGGAGCAGAACTTTTTCGGATTTGATGCTCTAAGAAGAGCGATCGAGGTGATGGAAAACATCAAAAAAGTTTCAAAGAGGGGCACATTTAAAAAACCACCATGTTTTGATGGCATACTATTTACCATCAATTCAGTGATAGGGTTGTATCACCAACAAAAAAAAAAGGCTATCATTATCTCCTAACCTCAAAACTAAATCAGGATATTCTTGAAAACCAATTTTCTATATACAGGGTGTTCCGGTGACTCGGGGCATAAAATTAACCTCATGTACTAGAGCAAAAATGATGACGATTCATGAAAAAAAATTATTATAAAAGTCTTCAAATGGCCAAAATATGGGCCATCAAAGTTCAGAAATTTTAACACATTTTTCTAAATATTTTCAATACCATTTATGGTAGAGCGTTGAAATTTGGTAGAGTTTAAACAAATATCAAGCAAAATCATTGAACCAATTTTGACTTTGATCGGGCGGCGGCAACCATGCTATACAGGATGTCC